ATATTGTCTGTTACAGGGAATTTTTTTTTCTTGACCTGATTTTATAGTCACTTTGCTTAGCAAGCACCATATTTGGAAGTCTGGAGGTTTCTATTCCACAGCAGCTCCTGAAAATAGAGATGTTCTTCTTATTCAGATACAGCAAATGTCTAATTCTTGCCTCTAAATAGCCTAGGTTAATTGCCTCTCTTAATATCCTACAGCAGCAAAGTCTACAGCCTAATTCAATGTTACACTAGAAAAAAATTCCCTTTGTGTGAAATTGGACCTCTAAGTTAAATGGGGGATGGGGTGGGGGTTGAGGCGGGGGGAGGAAATGTGTTAGAGTTTACCTGTTCCCCCATAAATGTTATCTTGGTTAACAGTCTCTGGAGAAAACGTAAGCACATCTCCCTCTTCATGAAGCCAATCCAACATGGATGTATCATCAAGTAAAAGCTGGCTTCTATAAAGCATACATAGAGAATCTTGTATCTCCGTATATAAATCACATCTCTTCCGTGTGACAAGTCATGTCCAGGCAAAGCTTATTACAAATTCAGTTTAAAATCTCAAGAAGGAAGAAGAACAAAAAATAACAATAGCTTTATGGAGCTATACTCAGGAAATGACTTGAACTCAATCCCAATTTTAAAGTTCCATTCTATACGGCAAGCAGCTCAAGCCCCATTTTCTGGGGGAGCTGCCCTTACAGGGAAGGTGTGGCAAAGCCATCTGCTGCTTTATAGTGATGGTTTTCAGCCTTGTTTTTCTGGTCCAGCCATGAAATTGCACTAATCACAGAAACAGCCTGTTTGGCCAGGAAGCAGTGTATGCCAAATACAAGTGAATTTAAGCCCACGTGTATTGAGGCTGCAAGCTTAGTTTGCAATTTATGTGCAAGTGGTTTTGTACTTATTGATCTGGACCAAGTGCAGGTCCTATAGGGGAAATATGACAGATTTCATCTGTCTGACAGCCAAGTCTAATTGTATTTTCAGTCTGAAATGACCAAAGACAAAAGTGCACATGTCGAGAGTCTTCACTCCAGTGCCATATGGAATATTAGATTCAAGACTCTGGTCACTGTAAGTGTTCATTTTAATAACTATACACAGAGTGCATCCTGAACAGCTAAAGCAAGAGAAGTGAGAGTTTTTAATTCACATCTGAATTAATAGACCATCTGATTCTGCCTGAATGTGGGTAGGGCCATTTTAAATAGTGCCTTTTATAGACATGATTGGTGGAAATTTAAAAGATGTGTCATGTATTATTGATTCATCTGGACCATGAAACTTCCAAGCCAAAGTCAAATACTTCCCACAATGGTTGTCACTAAAATTATAACCAATACTTCTGGGAAGGTCTGGCATCTTAAAACTCAGAAGCTTCTTCTATAACCTTATTTTCTAGTTGGGAAGACTGATTATGCCTTTGAGATTAGTGAACCATGATTTCTCTGATGGTGTCTCCCTCTGCCTCTGTCTCTATCTGTCTCTCTGTCTCTCTGTCTCTCTCTCTCTCTCTCTCTCTCTCTCTCACACACACACACACACACACACACACACAAACACACACACGGAGATTGACCATCACCAAATATCAGACACATCACTAGCAGCCATTATATAACTAAAGAGATAGTCCACAAGGAAACATAGCTGAAAAAAAAAAAAATGCCACTAATACCCAGCGATCCAGAGACTGGGTTCTAATGAAGCATCATTCAGAACTCTGAATTCTGATTGGCCAATCTCTTAAAAGGACTTTTTGATACTGTAGATCCTTCCTGCCCTTGGTTTCAATGACACCACACCAGGGGTCTCTCTCCCTTCTGTCCCTCTGTCTGCTCTCCCTCTACCTCTATTAGCAGCTACCCTTCTCCTAACTGTGCATATGGTGTAAAAGACCATTTCTGGCTGATGGACTATGAGCAAATTACTTAACTGCTCTAATTCTGTATTTTTCAGCTACAAAAATGGTGCTAACACTATGTGGTAATAGAGGGACAAAATGGAGGGGTTACAAGCATTAAACTAGTTAACACACATTTAAAAAATAAAAGGTCCTCTAATGCCTGGTCAAAGTAGGTGCTGGGTGAATGCTAACCAACCTTCCCTCTTGCTTGCTCTTTGACTATCTCAGAGAAATTTCTGTGTTCATTGCTTCAGTTCACATCCCAATGTCATCTTCCAGAAGCACATCTTCAACCTCAACTCTTCAGCTAGTAAGCATCCTATTAACCTAATTCTTATCTGTTCCTCTATTATCATTCCATGTTCCCCCAAATCCCAGGGCTTGACTTCTCTATCAGTGCGTTAAGTTCAACATCAATAAAACTAGGTTTACCATTAATTCCAGCCCAACCACTCTGTCCTTCTGTCGAACAACCTGTCGTCCTCTCTAGCTCCCTTTCATCTTCTTCCCTAATTGAATTGAATCACTATCCTCTCCCTCTTCAGTCTCAAAACCCTCAGATCTTCACTGATAGAGCTGCTTCTCTGTCCTTCCCAGCCAAGCGGGCATGAGATCCTGCCATGCTTCACAACCTTTCAGATTCATGTCTTCTTCTCAGTTCCCAGGCTTACCCACCACCCCACCCATAACTCAGGATTGCCACCCTCACCCCAGCTACTCTTTTACCTCTAGGTGGCCCCGAGGGCATAAGTGGAAGTACTTTTGCCCTCCAAGTCTGAGCCTTGCCCACTACATTTGTTTCCTATTGCTATAGGACAAATTACCACAAACTTAGTAGCTTCAAACAACACAAACAAATTATGGTTCTAGGGGTCAGAAGCCTAAAATGGGTCTCATGGAGCTAAAATGAAGGCTTCAGCAGGGCTGCATCCCTTCTAGAGGTTCTAGAAGATAATCTGTTTCCTTGCCTTTTCCAGCTTCCTGAAGTCTTTGGCTTGCAGCTTCCTTCCTCCATCTTCAAAACTATTAGTACATAATCTTCCAACCTTTCCCTCTCTCCCCCTCTCTCGCTCTCCTTCTCTCTCATGATGATACTCCTGCCTCCCTCTTTCACTTACAAGGACCCTTGTAATCACATCAGGTCCACCCAAATAATCCAAGATAATATCCTCATCTCAAGATTCTTAACCCTAATTACTTCCATAAAGTCCTTTTGCCATGTATTCACAGGGATTAAGAGCCATTATTTTACCCACTACTCCTACCTCACCAGTCTTATTTCATAGAATTATCCCCTACTTTTCTATGGGTTCCAGCCCCACTGATATTTTTATAATTCCTCAGATAAACTACAGTCACCTCTGCCACATGACCTTTGCATATAAAGGTCCCTCTGCCTTCACTTAATTTACTATTAACCATCCTTCAAGCTAGGCCAAGTATTCCTGTGAAATACCCTCATAGTATCATATACTTTTATTTCTTAGAATATATCATAGTTTTCAGTTACACACATATGTTTGTGATTAGTTGATTAATGTCTGTGTCTCCCACTAGGCTATAAGCTCCATGAAGACGGAGACCATGTTTGATTTTGCTTAATATTATCCCAGGACCTAGAAGAGATCACATGATAAGCATCTGAAGAATATCCGTTGAATGACTAAACCAGGTCAGTGGGTGATGACTCTCTATCATCGTGAATATTCATAGGAATTAACACATACCCAAACACCTGGTCAAAAAAAAATAACTAATCTATGCCGGACACTGCAATGAGTTATAGTCTGTCTTCTCCCATCTAATCCCATAACGAACTTCTGAGGTGGCTACAATCATAATCTTCATTTTTGAGATTAGGAACTGAAGAGAAGAAAGGTTAAAGAACTTGTCCAAGAAGACATAGCTAGTAGGTAACTGAATTGGCTTCTATCCCAAGTGGGTATTTTTCCCATACTTTGAGTATAGTTAACTACTATAAATTTTCGAGCGGCAAATCGCTTAGAAGTTTGTCTCTTACCACAAAGAAAATTTCTACCTCTAACAAGGAAGGAACAATAACAAATTTATAAGATATATTTACACATCAAGGAAGAAACTAATTGTTTTTTTAACCATATACATCGATATCATTAATTAGCATTAATATATAAAACTGCTTGTAACTTATTTACTTTACTGAATTTTTTTAAGAGTTATTTATTTATTTTAGAGAGAGAGCTCTAGAGCATGCATGAGCGGCAGGGGGAGGTGCAGAAGGAGAGGGAGGGATAGAGAGAATTTCAAGCAGACTCCCCACTGAGCAGAGAGCTCAGCGAGGGGCTCGATCCCAAGACCCTGAGATCATGACCTGAACTGAAACTAAGAGTCAGCTGCTTAACCAGATGAGCCCCCCAGGAGCCCCTACTTTATTGAATTTTTACCAGGTAGCCAAAGGCAGTCAAAACTCTCGTGGTGGAGTCAAGCGTAACTTTAACAATTTTAAATTGAAGCACAAAAACTCAAGGATAATTCATAAATGTGTTAGCTTTTCTTTCCAGAGCTATTGGCTGGTTTTAGCCATAACATATCAATTTTCAAAGAAATAAATAGTACCTAGGACACTCCCTTGTGTCTGGGATTACTGTCAACTCGCTTGAAACAAATTCTAAATTCTGCCTCTAATGCTTCTTTTCACAGGTTTAAAAGATGCATTTTGGAGTTTTGCACTGTTGGACATCCAATTTATGTGGTTGTGAGGAGCTGCTAAGCAGTTTATCTTCTATCCATTTTAACGATCAAAACTGAATTCCAATGAAACCCTTCTACTGCCCGTTGACAAGGTGAAAATGGGCCAAATTTATAGCCAGCTTTATTAAATGGGGTTGTAAACAAACTACTCTACATAAAGCCCCTGCAAGTTGAGTCAAGCTTTGAAGCCAAAAAAAAAAAAAAAGTTAAAACACAGGACCTGAAATTAGCCTGACTAAGCAGGAGTATCCTCCAAGAGGTTCAAAACATCAGCGTGAACAAGTTAGAAAGGCCTGTCCTCAAACAGACTCACGAATCTAAGCCATACCAAAGGAGAACGCTGGGCACTGTGTGAATTCAAAATTAATTTGCTTTATTATTTCCTGCAGCGGCAGTATAACAAACTTTTTTTTTCCATTTCTAAAAGCAGCAAGGTTGGTGGTGGTGGTTGCCATGAACATCCAATGAATGATTCGTTCTCGCTCAAGTGGAACCCATGGGAAATGTTGCCAATAACTTGGCTTATTTCTTATCTTCAGTTCTCAGCAGACAACATAAATCGTCTATATTTTTACAAGAGTCATAAATTTTTCAGTTAGTGTACAAATAATAACACTACGTGATTCCATTTGGTCTCGGTCCTCAGGGCTTTGGGAAAGGAGAAGGAAAACCCCATCTTCTTGATCCGCAGTGTGGACCATGCTTTCCGCAGCCTGCTGGGAAACCCTGGCAGAGGGTGGAGGAAGGGCCGTGTGCACAGTTGTAAAGCCTTGGATGCATTACCAAAATGGCAGGTGGCCTTTACCCAGATGAGTCCAACTGACTTTTCCAGTTCAAGGCTATTGTGCGGAACTGGGACGCTCAGCCACGTTTACCTAGGGGCTTGAAGAGGCCCAGTGAACCCAGCAGTGTAGGGCAGCATGAGGAGTTCAACACTCTTGTGTGTGTGCATCTCTCTCTCTCTCAACCTTGTGCAAATAACTTCACTCATGTGTGAAAATGAGGAAATACCTTTCAGGGTTATTTTGAGGTTAAATTAAAATACTGCATGAAAAATTCCTAGCACAGCACTGCATAGAGTAGAGCCTCAACCGATGTCGTCTCTCAGCCTCTTTTCAATGTCCCCATGAAAAGGATCTCATGAAAAGGTGACCCTCCACATTCCCCTACGGACCACTACAGGAATTCCAATCACACTTAAGGCCCTGATCTCAACCCTGATTTTCGATGCAATCCCAGGTTAGGTCATACCAGCAGTGCACAAAAGATGTATCTGAACTACAAAATATCAGCCTTCACTTTATTGGGATCTAGTGCAAATCTACCTATGGTCAGCAAATATTCTCTATGATTGGGTCCCCCAAAGAATACACACTGGGCACTGTTATTTTGTGAGCAGGCAATAGGGCTAGCCATGGAGTAATGAGATGCCATCAAGAGCTTAGCCAAGCTCTCCTCTGCTCTCCTCTGCTGGCCCCGAAGTGCGCAGGGAGGCATTAGTCTGCAGCCCCCAGCGGTCTCTGTGCCAGAAACTAAGTCCCCCACAAAGGCCCCTTCCCTGCCCCACAGCCTGCCTCACCGCGACCTTTCATCTGACCTGCTAAGAGACCAGCACTTGCTAAAAACGCATGCGGATCCACGTCGCCTGCTCTTTCTTCTCCCTCTGCAGCCACACTAAAGCCCCGGCCCCAGACACCTCTCTGCTCTCCAGCCAACCTTTCCCAGCACTGCATGTATTTCAGCATTTTTTTTCCTCCTCGGAAGAAGAAAAGCATTCACTCTGAGGCACGTTTTTGAAGCAATAAACAGCTCACTTCTTTGTGGAAAAATAGGCAATTTTCGAGTAACCTTTGGAAGCATCTAAATAACCCACGCATATTTATGGCTGAATGACTCTTCGGATTGAAGAAACTTTAAGTTTGTGTTTGCAAAGATTTCCATTAACATCTTTGAGCCACCTCTCATCTCATTTTAAAACAAATGGCTCACTCCACAGAACAGAATCTTGTTGGTTGTTCTCCTCCCTCCTCCCCCAGCTTGGCTTCCTAAGCAGAGATTTGACGACATGTGCACACATAAGCTCAAATAGCGAATCTTCACCCAGAGGGCTCAGGGTCCTGGGAGTGAAGACAAAAAGCCTCCGTGGTGTCCGGGGTCAGCCTTTTGTCTCATTTTAAATGAACCTCCATCTCACCTCACCCCCATCCCTTCCTTCTTGCAAGAATAATTCCCCAAGGAAAGGAAAAGGGCTTCTCATTGTCCTACCACCCGCCCCACCCCCTCTGCGCACGGGCACGCGCGCGCGCACACACACACACACACACACACTACAGCAGAAACACACTGTTTTTAAAGGGTTTGTTCTCAGGAGAAAATGCCATAAGCTATATTTATCTCTAACTAATCCATTTCTCTCTTCTCCAAGATTAAGGAATTAATGACTGCTACAGCTGCTGTCCTTAGCACATTAATTACTGTAAATTGGCTACAGCCTCAGAAAAAAAAAAATCCACTTTTCGACGATGGTGAGAGGGCAAGGTTCTATGCAAAGCATTAGGTACCAACCTAAATAATAAATCGGCGTAGCATCAAGCCCAAGAAGTTATATATGAGCTTGGGCACTGGGTTTCCACCCACAGGCTGTGAGCGCAGAGACGGGGTACAGGTGGGCGAGTGAGGAGAAAAGTATGTTGAATATACAGCTATCTTTCCTTGAGATCCAGAACAGATCAAATATTAAGGGAAAACCACTCTCATATTCATAAAAGCCCGCATTGTTGTGAGTCCTCTTAGGTCACTTTTCAGTAAATTGGCTGTTTTTTACATTTGCTAAAATCCTTGCAGACGTGACCGTGAATATAGATGTTTGGAATGACTTGTCTTCCCTGGCTTCCTTGCATCCCAGACTCCAGGTGCACCAAGTCACTACAGCAAGGCCCACACTCTTCCCTCTTCAAAATCCTTTTGTACTCCATCTTCCCCTTTCCTACCCCTTCCCCATCTAACAAAATTTCACTAATTCTTAGCCCCAACTCAGTGTCCTCCTCCAGGAAACTGAGTTCCTAGCTCTTTCTACGGACTGGCATGGAACTTATATCTTTGTACCACCATTTCACAGACCCAATGCTATGAGCACCCTGAGGACTAGGCTCCTGAAGTTTTTACTAGCACATCTCCGATTCTCTCTGGAAGCCCAGCCATCCCCTCTCCCCACCCCGGCTCCATCCCTCTTCCTTCTTAGCCAAACTTCCCCTCTAGTTCACTGTCCTCCTCCTCCCTCCCTTCCCTTCATACCTCACCCCTCTATATTCCTGCTTCTTGAGCCCATCACTCCAGTAAAACTACTTTCTCTAGTAGCACCTTGCTAAATCACCTTGCTGTAGACCTATCTCAGTGAAAATACCCCAAGTTGGAAACCTGGAGTTCATTCTTTTTTCTTTTTCTTTTTCTTTTTCTTTCTTTTTTTTTTTTTTTAGTATTTTATTTATTTATTTGTGAGAGAGAGAGGATGAGAGAGAGCAGGGAGCAGGGAGCCCAATGCTGAGCAGGGAGCCCAATGCAGGTCTCCATCCTGGGACTCCAGGATCATGACCTGAGCTGAAGGCAGTCGCTTAACCAACTGAGCCACCCAGGCGCCCCCTGGAGTTCATTCTTAACACACGTGTCACCCCTATCCCCAACTCTCCACAATGACCAGGCTCTGATAGCTCTGCTTCCCAGCTAGCCTCCAGATAGCTAGGACACCCTCCCACCTGGTCTTCCTGCTTCCAACCTAGTCTCTCCCCACTGCAGCCAGAATGTTCCTTCCTAAAAGTAAATCATATTATTGAAGTCCTCTATTTAACATCCTTACATATTTCTCCTTTTGCCCTAGGAAAAAATTCCCAACTTCTTCACATGATTTACGAGGGCTTTCGTTGTCTCTCTCTCTAATCTCATCAATTTTAATTCTCATCATCTCTGTTATCATTCTAAATGTTTTCAGGTTCCTTGAGAGTGTCCTGTTTCCAGACACTCACCAGACCTTTGCCTCTGCTGTTCCCTAATTCTTTCCAACCTCGTTTGCCCAGCTAACTCTTCCTCGTCCTTCTGTTCTCATTTTAGATATCATTTCCTCCAGGAATCTTTCCCTGCCTCCCCCAATCCTGACTGGGTGTTCCCCAGATCCTCCTACAGCATGCAGTACTTACCCCATCCCAGCACTTCGCACAAGTTGGCAACTGCCTGTTTTCTGCTTGGCCATTGCACTTTCTCTGCAAAGAGTAGAGATGCCCTGAAGCCAGACCAAACTGAATGGGATTATTGCAAGGATGCAAGGGGCCTCACAGGCATCTGAGAAGGTGAGCTTCATAGGAACTGGAACATAAAAGCCATCAGAAATTGAAGCTTTCCTTTCTATCTCCTGCTCAGAGATCCTAAAGTCAAAACCCTTATGCTCCTCTCTGCTCATCCCTCCCCATTCTCATTCTCTCTCTCTCTCTTTCCCAGCCAGCTTCCCCTACCTCAGCTCAACCCACAAGCCCATCCCAGCTTGCACCACGTGACCTAGCTCTCAACATCACTTTTCGTCTTCCATCTCTGGTGCCAACAGGTGTCATCTCTCAGCTTCCTGATTCCAAGTTCCTCAAGGACGAATGTGATTGGTCCTTCTCGTCTTGTGTTTCTGTGCTACATGTATCTTGGTGGGTTAGTGCCCTTGATTCAGGTCTAATCAGCTTACTCAAGACCAGTGGGGTGTCATGGTACAGGATTTAGCTATATTTACCTGGGGGCACAGTCTTAAATAATAGACAAGTCTGGGACACCCGTGTTATACTGTATCTCCAGGGAAGTAACCAAACTTTCATTGTTGTGTTCTGCCTAGCAGAGAATCAGGCACAAGAGTTTGTGGAGTAATGGCCTGATGAACATTTGTCAGAATTTCCTATCTAGAAGACCCATTTGGAGATCCTTTTTCAGTCAAACCTTACAGGGTAAGCAAGTTCTTGATCCCCATATAAGAAGAAGAGAGCTTTTGTTCCTTAAAGGGAGTTGCCCAGATAATAAGTATTTCCTGACTCTTAACTTCACTTAAGGTCGAACCTACCATTTAGCTGATAACTAGTAGCTTTAAGCAAAACAGCAACAATCTTTTGCAGCTTCAGCCTCCTTGTTTGACCTCTTCTTAAAATAGTTGCCAACTTGGGCTTTAGAAGTCTAGAAGGAAATCAGATAAAAAAGTATAAACAGGATTAATGCAATAGTTTAGCATCAGTATAATAACTACCTCAAGATCTGCCCAATTTGAAGTTCACCCCTAGACTCTGAAGATTTACTAGCCACCGAGTATGGTTTCTGACTTTGGCAAATATGAAAGGCTCTATCTCAAGTCAGGTCTTTGTTGTACGATCAAGTTTTCACTCCTTATTGCACTTTGAGATCTTTCTCTCTCTTTCTCTATTTTTTCCTCTTTCTCTTCCCCCTCCTCACTCATTTGCCTTTCCTACTCACGACTAGCCATCTATTTTATTTCCAAAACTTCTTTGAAACCAGTAATCTCCTGGGGGGTACTGAAAGGAAGGAAGGACTGCTGAACACTCAGAAATCCTTTATGGAAAAATCCATTCATTTGTGTAAAAAAATATATACATACACACACACACACACACAGATATATATATATATATCTGTAGGCATGCGAGGGACCAAAAATAGACCTTAAAAGTACTAAAGGCAAGACTGTAGAGTACGACGTTGGACAGCTCCCCGCCCACCAGCCACACTCCCTTTGCCTTAAAGGCATCACCACTGAAGACTGCAGCACAGCAGGTTGTTCCTCAGACTTGCCTGAGCATCAGCATCACTCAAAGAGCTTGCTGAACATATATATTCAAGAACCCACCCACTGAATTAGAATCTCCAAGAGGGAGACATGGGAATAAATGTTTAATGAGCACTCAGATGATCCTCAGGCCCTGACAGGTTTGGAGACACTGTTCTACATAGTCTCCGTTGGCTCTTCGCAAAGCCTGTTACATTAATGTAGGGCTTCTCACCCCTGACTACACAGAGTTGCAAGGTGCAGAGCCTGGGAATTTTAAGTCCCACCCACACAGCCATTTTTATTCAAATCTGCAACTGTGGATGAAAACACCAGTGCAACACCAGCTCAGTAAGACACTCCGTGGAACACAACGGCTCTCAAGTAAGATCAGTGTAGAAGGCAGGAGTCTCTCAGCCCCTCATCTGGGTTCCCAGTGCAAACTGTCGGATCAAAGACTCTGGATGTCTGACAACAGAGAATTCAATTTTATTTTATTTAAATTTATTTAAATTTTTCTCAAGATTTAATTGCAAAAGGAACTTGTTTTGTTTGCTTGCTTGTTTGGTGGCTAGATGGTTGGTTTTTACATAATCTGAATGAGCCTCGTGTGTAGTAGAAATATACTTAAATAAAGGCTGCTGCCCTGTTTTCTGAGTGAAGAGTTAGCCTAGATGCAGCTTGTAACAACTTCTGTACTACAATTCTGCTTTCATTTAACTCCTCATTTCTATTTCTATTTACTATTAACTATTTATTTCATTCCTATTTCCGGGTCTTGTATTGGCATGGACTCTCCCAAATGTGAATGTAGGTTTCCCCTCAAGGAACCTGACTGAGACAAACCTTTCTCACCCCTTTCCCTTCATTCAAACAGACTTGAGGCAGCTTGGAAGTACTAGCACTCCACAGATGCAATGGCGTGTCTCTCAGTTTCATGCAAACAGATCATACCCACAGTTTTTAATATCTTGCTTTCCAGGTTATCCACTCCAAACAAGAAAGGGATGGAAAGAGGGAAAGCAGAGATCACACATGGCCCAGAACTGGTCCACAATCTGGTCCCCACTGCAGGAAAATTAACAGAGAAAGGAGGGTCAACCACCATCCCCGTATACGCATACCCTTCCCTATATTGGACAATTTCCTGAAGGGGAGTAAAGGAAGTTATTAAAATTCCTGAGGAAAACAAAGTGGAAAATAATGGACTCTCTACTCATAAAAAAGAGAAAAAGAAATGGTGAATTTTAAGTTATTTGACATTAAATTTCTCTTCCACTCATATAGTAGAAATAATCATTTCAACTAGCACTAACTCTGTGGCAGGATTTCTCCACAGTAGTACTGCTGACATTTTGAGCTGGATAATTATTTGTTGTGTGCACTGTAGGATGCTTAGCAGCATCCCTGGGCTCTACCTACTAGACACCAACAGCATGACTCCCTCCAGGTTGTGACAATCAAAAATGTCTCCAGACATTACCAAATGTCCCTTGGGGACAAAACTGCCCCAGGTTAAGAACTGCTGTTGTGGGCGCCTGGGTGGCTCAGTTGGTTAAGCGACCGCCTTCGGCTCAGGTCATGATCCTGGAGTCCCTGGATCGAGTCCCGCGTCGGGCTCCCTGCTCGGCGGGGAGTCTACTTCTCCCTCTGGCCCTCCCCACTCTCATGTGCTCTCTCTCATTCTCTCTCTCTCAAATGGATAAATAAAATCTTTAAAAAAAAAAAAAAAGAACTGCCGTTGTAAGGCATAATTCCTATATGTAAAACATTATGAAACCCAGCCGCGGTTGGGGAAATAAAAAATTAAATCACAAATCTTTTTTCTGGATGTTTCATTGTAACCATAAAATAAAATATTCATAAATATTTTCCCCAAAAAACTTCCCAAGATTTTTGTTTCTTATGAAAAATGTTAATTACACTCTTATTTAAATCTTCAGTTGATTAGTGGAGGTCAGTGTTTGGGGAGGAAGGTAAATTTCCAAGCTGAACCTGGAATTTTTTTTAGTTGCCAAGAAAGTTGAGGAATTATGATTTTACTATATACAAGTTTAAAATGTTGCATGTTAAGAAAAAAATAACCCAGGGACGCCTGGGTGGCTCAGTCATTAAGCGTCTGCCTTGGGCTCAGGTCATGATGCCAGGGTCCTGAGATCGAGGCCCACATTGGGCTCCCTGCTCAGCGGGGAGCCTGCTTCTCCCTCTCCCACTCCCCCTGCTTGTGTTCCCTCTCTCGCTGTCTCTCTCTGTCAAATAAATAAATAAAATCTTTAAAAAAAAAAAAAAGAAAAAAATAACCCAAACCAAAAGGGAAACAATAGGCAAAAATTCAAAATACATATAACAAAGATTAGTGTTCAACACATAGTCTACCAAATCAATTATGTAAAAAATGAAAACGAGTGAGCTTGCAATTGATAAGTAGCCAAAAGATACATGCAAATAATTCACAGAACACCCAACAAGCAAATAATAATGAGCACTAGAAAACTGTAAGCATCACTAGAAATCAAGGACAACTAAATTAAAGCCAATTTTTGCCTATCACATTAATATCTTTTTAACTCAGGTGATTCAGCACTCATAAGGGTGAGATGAAAAAGACACACATACCGATGGAAGAACTTCTAAAACTAATTTGGCAAAATGTATAATGAGCTTTAAAAACATTCACTTTGCATAATCTGGCCTAAGAAATTAATCCTAATTTAACTGGAAAAGTTCAAAGATACTCATTACAGCATTATCTAAGATAATGAAAAATAGAATATCACCTAAATGCCCAACAAGTAAGTAAATTGTACAGGTTATTTGTGGCAATTAAATGTGGTATCGTAAAGCCATTTAAAAGTTGCCCTAGAAACAACAGGTATAAAAATCATACTAAAAATATCATTATAGGGGCACCTGGGTGGCTCAGTCGTTAAGCGTCTGCCTTCCGCTCGGGTCGTGATCCCAGGGTCCTGGGATCGAGCCCAGCATCCGGGCTCCCTGCTCCGCGGGAAGCCTGTTTCTCCCTCTCTCACTTCCTCTGCTTGTGTTCCCTCTCTCACTGTGTCTCTCTCTGTCAAATAAATAAATAAAATCTTTAAAAAAAAAGTATCATTATATATATATATCAGATATATATATACACAAGGGTATTGGATAAATACCAACTCCAGCTGAAAGGCTGGCTCTGGTTACCTTTGAAAAGCAAAACTTTTCACTCTTTCTATTTTATATTTCTAAATTTTTTGTAATGAGCATGTATTACTTTTACAATGGAAAAAGTAAACTCCATAAAAAATGATTAACTTTTCTAAAAGTGCAGCTCAGTATAGTTTAGATCTTAAAATAAGCTGGCTTCTCTGTCATGTTTTCTTCAGATCAGGCTATTTTGAAAACATTCTCATCATATAAAAGTTGACTGAAGCCAATGAAACCTAATCTGCTCTAATTTCAGGGTCATCAACCTCAGCCACAAAAATAACCAGAAGATAGATTCTGGAATGCTCTTAAAGAAGCCTTAAGACATGACTTTTCTCCCTTCTTTTGTCACATTTTTTCACTGAATACATCAAACAGCTTCTCTTCTACACCTCAGTAGAAAATCCCAAACAGGAAAAGGTAACATTGAGTCAACTCATTCACGGGGAGAACTTTAAAAATAAATAAATCATGAATCCTCAGTGTTTTTCCTTCCTCATTATTGAATCCTGATCAATAATATTTATTATAGCTGTTCCTCTCACCATATTACATTCATGAGACATAAGAAAAAACAAAAGACATGAAAACATCTCATTTCTAGGAAATAATAATTAGGAAGTAGAGAAAAATACATGAGTGGACAGATACATAACTATTTATTTCCTAACAACAAAAGTCAGAAATTTGTAGAATTTTGGAATTAGAAGGTACTTTAAATACAACTAGCCCTACTTCCTCATTTTGTATGTGTCTTTGGGTCAAAACGAAGAAGAATGCCATAAGAGATCATTGTAGACAGACTTCAGAGCAGGCCACAAGGGTGGAAGATCCTTAGAGTCAGAGTCTTAGATTAAATTATTAAATTAATTTAAGCAATTAAAATGGTAGCGGACAGCCTTTTCATCAAAAGCAGGATTCTTCTCTACATCCCTGACAGATGGTCACCCAGATGAGGTTGGAATCCTTTAAGAATTATCACTGATGCCTTCATCCCCATATCCAATCCTAGGTCATGTGAATTTTACTTTGAAAAGATCTCTTGCTTCCATTCCACCTTTTCTATTCTCATCAGTCTGGATAGAAATAGGGAGGAAAGAATGGCATTAATCCAGGCAGAAAATGAGGGTCTGAGCTAAGGTGGTGACAAATGAGAGCAGGGTGAAGGACAGGGTAGAGATGAGATATACTTTAAACGAAAGTAAACAAAGGGATTGATGACTGATCGGATATAAAGGTGGTGTCCATGTCTCCTGAACCAAAAAAATGGGACACATGGCCTGACAATTATGAGGGTACTTTTGAGCTCAATGGGGCAGAATATTTGCTCTCAGGACTAACTCAGAAAATCCATACAGACTTTCTTTTTTTTTTTTTTAAGTGAGCATGACTGGGAGTTATAGAATGGGAGTCAGGATGAAAGAGCAGGGAGAGCCAGCAACAGGTAGAGAAAGAAGCCCTCTGTACGGTCTAAGTACTAGCTTATTTTCTGTTTCTATTCAAGCATGTTCTCTTCTGCTGGAAAATGCTTTGTTAAACTGATCTGAGGTCGTTTCCATCCTCATGAGAAATCTGATGCAGTATTTCATCCTAAACATTATAAAGCTTGGCATTAAAAGCTTCCCAAAGTCTATTTTCCCCTGGAGTCAGGTACCGTTTGTCATTTGCTCACACATTCCTTCTGGCAGACTGCTTTACGATGATTCCCACGGGCAGCTATGGGGCTGGAGAGCATCCTTCACACATGACTTCCCTCTGAGTCCAGAGGCCAATGGACACAAGTAGAAAACTAACTCACCCCATTATTGATGGCATCTAACAGGGCACACATGGGTTGTCTTCCTTTCTTACTGTTCACCTGGGTTTACAATGCACCACCAAAAAACAAAACTTGAAACCTGAGAATAAGTTCTATATTAAATTACTCATCCTATGAATCCAATATTGTTCTTTTTGGGTGCTTGCCCAAAGAGACAGGGAATAGTAAGTATACTCTCAAGGTGAAGACAAAGGATTGTAAAAAAAAAAAAAGGGGGGTGGGATATGAGTAGTATTTTAAGTGTAAATATGGTGATCACATTTCCTGAGACAAAAAATATGATTTATGACCTAAAAGCATTTTTATATTTAATACAGTGGAGACTGAGAGAAAATTATTTTTGAAATTAACACTGAAAAATCCAAGACATTGGTTACTACAGCTATACAGTCACATAAAGAACAGATTTTCTTTTTAAATTTTTGATAAAAAGATTTTCTAAATCCTAAATTATTAAATTTAGAAAGAAGAAGGAGAAGAGGTAGGTATCAGAATGTATATTTATCTTACTAATTAAATCAGCACATCGCCGTCTGTTTTTGTAAATATGGTTCCCAGTCTAGACGAAAAATATTTGGTCCATAACACAGCTTTCTTTTTCTTTTCTTTCTTTTGAGAGGGAAAGAGAGAGGGGCAGGAAGGGGCAGAGGGAGAAAGAGAATCTTAAGGCGCCATGCCCAGTGCATTGCCCGACGGGGGGCCCAATCTCACAACCCTGAGATCACAACCTAAGCCAAAATCAAGAGTCGGACGCTTAACCGACTGAGCCACCCAGATGCCCCTGTAACACAGCTAATACTCTTTTTTTTTTAAGATTTTATTTATTTATTTGAGAGAGAAAGCACGAACAGGGGGAGGGGCAGGGGGAGAAGCAGGCTCCCCGCTGAGCAGGGAGCCCAATGTGGGACTCGATCCCAGGACCCTGGGATCATGACCTGAGCTGAAGGCAGACGCTTAACGACTGAGCCACTCAGGCGCGCCTCTGACCTACAGCCTAAAATGAGTATTGAACACAGACCCTGTTGGGAGTTGTGGGAAGTGTACTGGGTGTAAATTTTTCTTAGCTTGTGATAGGAAGCAGTATGGATAGATGAGTGCAGAGAGCCCCTATGAACAAAGCACCCTAAAATAGCAGTTTTATAATCCGTGACCTTGGTCTACAATCCGTGGTCTGTTCTACCCTTAGAATGCACTCCTAAAAGCCATTACAGTTGACGGGGGGGAGTGGACATGCAAGAAACAGAGCTCTAAACAAGACTTTTCAGAAGCTGTCTCTGTGAATATGAGGTGAGGTTTCTGGTATCTATTAATGTTGATTAAACCACAACGTTTTAGATACCCAGAATATAGTTTACATTTAGTATTTTTCTTTTAAATAAAGATTTTTCTGTACCTTTCAACTCCCCCATTTATAGTGGAAATTTTTCTCTGCTCAAAAGGCAATCATGATGTAGAAAAGGCTCCCACCTCTAGGCACCAAAGCAGGGGATTCCTGAACCACTAGACAGGCCTTGTGGTAGTTAAAACCGTACCTGCATGACCTCTAACATGTGTCTCTCTCCCTATGACCCCTCTGCAGTGACAGGTTTCCCCTAAGAGTCCTCACAGACCTCTGGAACTCCATGGTCAGTGTTTGGGTGTGGTCTTGCATACCACACACAATAACTCTGCTA